GCAGGTAGAATATATGCATATGGCCATTCTGCGTGTAAAATGAATTCTTGAATTTTTCTATAAACGTGTCACCTTTCGCTGACCGGTCTGAGTCTCGGATCGGCCGGGACTAGTAAAGAGGTGGAGGGAGGGTGGTTTGTAGATTGGGAATGAGAGTGTGACGAGTGTCGGTGTGCTGGACGGACTCATTCTCGAGAATGAGCGAAAGGAGTTATCTGCTATTCCGTCAACGAGTGCACGAGGTCGAGAACCCCTTATCTGTCCGATAGAATTTCTTCCGAGACGATTTCTCCTATTCTCGATAGCGACGCTGGCGGCTCTGTTAAGGAGAGAATCGTTAACCTCCTGCATTAACCAGGGCCGTAGCTACGATCCTCGAGTTCCCCATTCTGTTGCTGAGGAATTGTGCAATTTGCCTGGCATGGATGGGACCTCGCTGCTGCGTGCCAGCAACTCCTTCTTAAGGTTTCCCTCTTGGGGGGAGGGACTCCCCCCCTTACCGTGCTTGGTACACCGGTCCCTTCGCTGCCTTCTACGAGCTGCAGGGGGATTATGTACCGATTACCAGTGCTCGATTGACCAGTCATTGATCCATTATCAGTTCCATAGTATTCCATAGGGATGCACTCGGTATAGAGATGGCTGTGGATCTGTGTATCGTCGGGTGGTTAACTATTGCGGGGTTTGATTTATGTGGACAGAGTACGAGGGTGGCAGGCAGGACTGGTCGGGTGGCAATGTCATCGGCATAATTTCTTTTTGTCTTGAGAAAATTAATATAGAGAGGAAGGTGGACTGCTGGGGGAGCTTGATGTCCGCAGTGGCTATGGCGAGCAAGACGACTACTGCGACGGCTACGGGTGGAGAGACGGCGGTGATTTAGCAGTGGGACGTACGCTAAGGGGGTTCGGCGGGCAGGCGGAGGTAGAGCAGCGAGAGAGAAGAGCCGCGAGGGAAAGAGCAGGAGCGAGACAGAAGTGAAGAGAGGCGGCGAGAGTCGGAATCACGGGAGCCCGAGTGGTGCCGACGCGGGACGTGGTGGGGCTTGTGGGTAGCGGGAGAGTGGGAGGCCGAAGAGTGCGACGAGGATCGGCGGGAGAGGCCGAGGGAGTCCGAGGGTAGACGAGGAAAGACGAGGAAGGCCGAGAAGAGGCGCGCACCACGGCGCTGCCGCTGCGGCGCTGAACGCAGTGCCATCCGATAGGCAGCACCGCTTGCTCCGGCGGATCCTCGCTCGCTCGCGCGTTTCCTTCCTCCGTGTTTGACCTTATCAGAAAAAAGAAGCGCGCGCGTGCAAACCGGCGCTCGCTCGGCTCGTCGACCCGTCGACAACAACGTCGACTCGCGTACCGTGCGAAGACGCCCGCCTCCTGCCCTAACCCTGCCGGCGCGTGGTGCTCGAGAGACGGTGCATGTGTCCCCCTCTTCTGGCTATTCTTCTTCTTATTTTTTTCTCGCGTCTCCCTGTTCTCCACCTTATCGTGCTCCTTCCTTCTCTCATATTTCTCTTCCTACTTCTTCTCATTTTTGGCTTCTAAACTACTGCCTGTCGTTATCGTCGCCGTCACCTACGTCGTTACCGTCAAAGCCATCGTCAGCATCACCATCACTGCCACCGACGCCAACGACGACGACGACGACGACGTTATCGTCATCGTCAGCACCCTCGACCTTCTGATCACTACCGAATCTACTGGAGCAGAGCGTCGTACGACGCGACGCCGAGAGCGACGCGGCCACAGAAAGTGAGTTTTCCCAGCGTGATTCGGGGCGCGAGGGATCCCAGCATGGCCGCCGTACCGACGAGTTAGACTCGTTGCTACGGGCCGGTGTCCGTCTCTCTACTCCTAGCGGCGTCTCAGGGCGTCTCCGTGTGTCCCCGAGCCTCGCAGACACCCGCTCACTCCTTCCTTCTCTATATCCCTTTCTCCAATTCTCTTCATCTCCTACGTAATATTCTTCCGCAGCCGTTAGTATCCTTTCTAACCTATACTCCCCTACCACATTTCTTTATTTTTCCTGCTTCTCTAATCGGAATCTCGTCTAACCTCCACTCCTCGACTGCCTTCGACAATCTTCTCTCAACATTCTACTTCAACAATCCTTCGTCCAATCATTTTCACTGCGAACGACTTCTCTCTTACTACTCCTCTGCCTCCGATCTCCATCCTTTGCTCGTAGAGTCCCGCACTTTCTATTTCTCGCAACTGTTTCTCTACCGTCGCCCGATCACGCGTTTCATTCGAAAATAGAACGTCAGCATGCGTGCCACGCACATTTTTACCCGTGAAAACGCCGAATTCTCTCGCCTCCCTTAATCCCGTTAAAATCTCTTTTCTTTTTTTTCCCTTTCTTTCTCTCTCTCTCTTTCTCTCTTACTATCAAGTGATCTGCCACTCTGTGCCACTAGAGCAACACGGCAGTGGAGCAGAGGTCTCTTATAGCTCTAGAAAGTGTCATCGTTTACGTGCAGCGCGAATACGAGTCTCGCGCAAGGCTGACGAGATACTTACGAATGTTAAATGCTACGATATATATATATATATATATATATATATACACACAGTCAATAACACGAAGCAACCCTTCTAACGTCGCTGCTCTCGTCAATAAAGTCACGACACGAGATTCAACGCTGCCATAGTGACCACGAGGTGGAGAATACACTTAGGATGAGTATGGTACTGCGAGTTCGTGAAGACGCTTCGCTAAGGAGTGGAGGAGGGGTATCGGGAGGAGGAGGAGCTACTCTACTTGTAAAAATAGTATTTAAACTCTTTCATTTCTTTGCGCGACTATAATTAGCGGAATACGCGCTTTTCGGTAGTAAACAAATTTTCAAAGAGCGTTGCGCCGCCACGAGAAGAACGTCTGACATATTTCGAGATTCGCCGTTACGCGACGTCCTTCGGATGGATCGAGTGAAAAATGCATCAACTTAAATTCTCATTGGATAAGGTTTATAAGAGATTTTATAAAAAAAAATAGGTGAAATCTGTGTGTCCCTAACGGTAACGTCTGGAGGTAAAGAGGCGATCGTGAAACGCGATAAAAGAAATAGCGGATCGGTCGACGGAGCGTGCCGACACGGGTTTCGCATTACGGTTGGGTTAAGAGGAGGTAAAGTGCGGGGTGCGGTGGAACCGACGGTCCTCATTCGTATCTTCTCTCTTTCTCTTGGATCCCATTGCCAACCCATCGCCATAATATAACCTTCCCAACCGGCTTTCG